CAGTCCAGTCTTGGGGCAAATCAACCGCCACACATACTCCCGTCGGTCTCTCGGCATGGCACGTGGAAAGTCACGCGTCTGTAACGCTTTTCTCCCAAGCCCCAAGCGTCCTCTGGCATGATCTTGCTGTTGGCGGCGCCCATCGCGGTGCACGAGCAGCTCGCGAATGCGTTCGACAGATCCTTCAGTGTCGTGGTGAAGCTGCGGCTTGCTTTGGGCGCTCGGTATTTCACTGCTGCCATGGCCAGTATTGTTCCCTCTCGATGTCGTCCTTTAAGCCATAGAGCTGGTCAGTGTGGACTCGCGAATGTTGCCGTCGCATGCTGGCTGAGTAGTATGCTTTGCCGACCGGGTCCATAATGTGGTAGATTGTCATGCCTGGTGGTCCTGGTTTGTTGGTTTTCTTGACTGCTGTCGCCGTGCTCTGGCGCCAACGTACTGGAGTGGTGTTGCTGAGTCGCATCGCAGCGAGTGACGCTCGACATATGTCGTTGAAGTGGTCTGGTTTAGTCTGCGTGGTTGGCGCTCCAAGCCGTGGTGCCGTTGTGGCACTGGCGCGCGGTCTCCCAGTAGTAGGTCTCCATAAATCGGAGGGCACCGCTGCGGGCGATGTTGCTCGTCGTAGTTCTGCTCTCTTGAAGCTGTGCTTGATGCGTTCGATGTCCTGGTCGACTATATCCTCTAAGTCGTTCTCGTCGTAGTTTTGCGCCTCTGCGTGGCTTGGTATCTGCCCCAATGCGTCGTCGTCCTGCTCCGTTCCCTCCAGCCCGCCCGCTCCGCCTGGTAACTTCCAGAATTCCAACCATTATTATTCCCGTGTGTGGGTTGTGCTGTAATTGTAATCCAGTAGTCACGTTTCCGCGGTCCGTACCTGCCTCCCGCTATGAGTCTGGTCAACCTGCCCACTCTTGCTAAGTCCCTGCGTTCCCACGCCTCGTACAATTCTGCCACTCTGTCGTCCGTCAGCTTCTGGCGCTCCACCTCGCGCACGGTCGCGCATTCCCGGGTGATTTAGCGCAGTTGGTTCTCGATATCGCATAGTCTTCTTTCTGTTGGGTCCGTCGGTGGGGCCCCAGTAGCAACATGGCCCCCTTGTGACCAGCAGCAGCACAATCCGTAGGTGACGTCCCAGTAGCGGTAACACAGGCCGCTGGTGGAGACCCAGTGGCAACCCACGTCCTCGGCGGAGACTCAGTAGCAACACAAGTCCTCCGTGAATACCCAGTAGCAACACTAACCGTCGCTGGAGACCCCGTAGCAACACAATCCGTTGGCGACGTCCCAGCGGCAATGCGGGCCGTAGACGTCGACCCAGTAGCAACACAGTCCGTTGGTGGAGGCCCAGTAGTGACACGTGCCCCCGGTGAAGACACAGTAGCCACACATGCCGCCGGCGGGGGCCCAGTAACGTAGGTGATCGGCACCTTGTTCATCTGATATCCCTCTATGGGCCCGATGCGTAGTGCATCGCCCTCCCGTCTGAGTCGTTCCCGTAGTGCTCTGCGCTGTCGGATCTGTTCCATTCGGCGTGCTCATAGGTCTGTATAAGCCGGTGTGGGTGGCGGTCGTTGTCCGTATATGGGGAGTGCCGTCTGTACGATCATATCGCTGATGACCTTGTTAGTGGGGTCGTACGTCTCAAGTATGGTCTCCAGCGCTTCTATAAATTTGTTGCGATGTTGCCCGTGTCGGGCCGCTTGAGCTAGTAGATCCTTGTCCCACCATATCACTGGCTTCTGTCTCTGGACTTGTTGTCTGCGTATCGTCACTGTGATCGTTGTCTTTACTGGTACGTGGTCACGGTGGTGTCTGCTTGGGATATGCTGTAGTCTGGTGCCCATGCGGAGTATGGGGTCCCTGGCTGACGGCGTTGCAGGAGAGTTCCTGCGGCATCATGATGAAGTCGATACAGCTCGCTATGTGTGCGCCAGAGAACGTCGGGCGCCATGGGAAGGTGCTGCTCATTACCAAGAGTTGGTGGCGCTCCGCGTATTGTCGTGCTCGTTGTCGCGTGCCTCCTGGTAGTCGTTCTTTAGTGTGGTGCTCGCCCACCGCCGTGCTCGGTGGTACCAATCTGGACGTTCGGGTCGCCCGCTGTGAATCGTAAGCTGCCTGGTGGGCGCAGCTGCGCAATGGTATCCATCCGCGTGTAAAGTCGTGTCACTGTCGCGTAGTATTGCTGCTGCTCCTCCTTCGTACGCGGCCGGGGTGGGAAGTAGTATCCAGTGATCGTCAAACGAAGTGTGTGGTACGCAATGTCGAGTGCGACTCCTCGTCCGCAGAGTTCTGGTGGTGGGGCATGCACAGCGAGTATGTCCGCTCCTCGTAGTCGTCCTTGTAGTGCAACCAGGATGCCCGTGCTGCGGTTGGTAAGCAAGCCATTCAGCCACCCTGCATCGATTTACCTCGTGTGCTGTAGTCGTCGTTGTTCTGGTTGTGTTCCTCGTCGGAGTCGTTGAGCGCCTGTAATCATCACGACGACAAAACTGATGGTTTCCTCGAGGATCTCCTGGAGTCGATCCTCTCTGGCCGTCAGCGGATTGTAGAGCAGCAGCGCGAGGGTGGTCATCCATCGCAGCGCAAACATGCGGGTTTCCGCCCAGTCAATCCTGCCTCCACATCTCTGTGGAATGACGGTGCATAAGTGTGTTGCTGCCCTGACAATCTCTTGGGCCTAGATGGCAGCTACGGTTGGAGGAGGAGGAGGAGGAGGAGGAGGAGGAGGAGGGAAGAGCTGGGGGAGGAGACGGAGGAGGAGGAGGAGGAGCTGGGGGAGAAGGAGGAGGAGGAGGAGGAGGAGCAGGAGGAGGAACTGGAGCAGCAGCAGCAGCAGCAGCAACGGCGGAGGGCGGGCTCAGGGCACAGCACGAAGGACTCGCCACTGGCTGTCTACCAGACCACCCCAGCCCAACCCAAAGTCCCAAACTTCAGACTTGGGGGGGTGGTATTAGGGATTAGGGGGGGGGTACGGGTTCCATGCCATGTGTGTTCTTTCAGTGTTCTGCCCCCCTCCCCCACACACACACACCACGGGAGATGGAGAACAACTCAGGAGAGACAAAAGTGCCACTACCACCAGCGAGGGGGGTGGCCGCTCCCTCCCCTCGAGCTGGTGGCACCTCCTTCCAGGCACTCTCTGGAGGCATGCCCGGAACGAGGTGCCACCAGCTCGAGAGGGTGGGACAGCCACCCCCCTAGCTGGTGGTAGTGGCACTTTTGCCTCTGGGGAACAACGGCGGAGCGCGCGCTCAGAACGGGAGGAAAGACGAGAAAAACAGGGCGGGGGGGGGGCCGAGGGCAAGAGAAGAGGAGGATCAGCGGGGGGAGGAGAGGGGAGAGGACGAGCAAAAGCAGGCCGAGGAATGGCGAGGATAGAGAAAGAAAAAACGGCACATAGACATAAACTGTTGGCGCTCCGCGCGGATTTCGTAAATCCGCGCTGGGTCCTCTTCCCTGGCGCGCGGAGCGCGCCAGGGGCGGCGCCGAAGGCGCCGCCGGGGCGCCCCAGCGCGGATCCAAAAAAAAAACGCGCGGAGCGCAAAAAGCACATGCTCGTGCCGCTTCTTTTCTCGGGAGAAGGAAGAAGAGGGAGGACGAGGACGAGGACGGAACCGCCGAGGCGGAGCGCGCGCTCAGAGCATGAAGAAACTCACAAGCAGCGCGGCGCGGGCAGGGCTCGAGAGAGGCTGGGCGGCGTCGAGAGTGCAAAGTGCACGCTGCGCTGCGGCGGCGTCGGCAGCGGCCGCGCCAGACCAGGCTCAAGGAGTGCGAACGGCTGCCGGACTGACGGTGACCTTGTGTAGAAAAATACAAGACGGCATACGGCAGGTTCGTGTCGTGCCGACCCCAGCGTTGGTTTTTGACACCGCAGGGATCGTTCAACCTTGAACGATCGGCCGCTGCCGCAACGTCCAATCGTTCAACATCGATCGATTCTGGGTCGCCGGCGGCGTTCAACCTTGAACGCCCGCGCTGGGGTCGCCGCCGGTCGACACGACGCAAACCTACCGTACGTAAGCATAGACTTGCGACGGTCCAGCGCAGATCTAAGAGATCTGCGCGGAGCGCCAAAAGTTATGTGCATCGGTTTTTCTTCTTCGTCCGTTCACTTCGGGTTTCGAGGGGTGTATCCCCAACTGGGGGGGTTAATTTGGTGGGGGTCTCGCAGGGGATGGGGATGGGGATGGGGACCGGATAAACGATACCGACGAGAGGGGCCGCACGGCATGCCATCAGGGTCTCCAGGAGGCGCAGGCGCACCGCAGGGAGACCCTGCCGAGGGCGACACGGGACATGCAGCCTGCCGCCGGGGTGCCAGGAGGTGCTGGTGCTGCGCACGGCGGGGGGGCGCGGGGGGCCCGCAGCGTACGCTCGTGGGCGGCCAAGAGGGGGGCGTCCAAGAGGGGTGTGTGCAAATCATGGCCGGCGGCATGTGCGCGGCCCAGATGGGGGGGCCAGGGACGTAATGAAATAAGAAGAGGCGCCATGAAAATGATATCCAACCCCCCATAGTCATCACCCCCCTCTTGGCCGCCCCCGATACGCACCCCCCCTTCTAAAAGACAAGCAAGTCGAGGAGAAGAGGCGAGATGGCAGGCACGGAGAAGGGAGAAAAGGTACGAGGGATCATGCGGGGAGGGCAGGCGAGGAGAGGGCGAGCTGGGAGGAGAAGCCAGGAGAGGAAGGGGGGAATGATGAGGTGGTTGGAGGACGAAAGACGAGATGCGGATGGAGGAAGACGAAAGTAGAGGAGAGGGGAGGGGAAGGAAGAGCACCGGAGGAGTGTATAACGAAGATGGATGGAGGAAAACAGGGAGGAGGAGGAGGATGAGAAGGGGGAGGAAGACGATGAAGGGGAGGAGGGGGAGGAAGACGGGGAGGAGAAGGGGGGCGAAGAGGAGGGAGAATAGGGGAGAAGGGAATCGGGAGTTCGCCGCTCCCCGTCGACGCGGCCCCATCCCATGCCCTCTGCTGACCCTTCATGGAGCGCCCGGGGTCGCCTCGGAGTACGAGCCAGAGTACGAGTAGGACTCCTGCGCGGATTGGTACCATCTCCCTCTCTCTCTCTCTCTCTATCCCTCGCTTCCTCGAACATCCTCAATGCCAATACCTGCAACACACGCTGCGCATGAAATTATGAGGAGGAGGAGGAGGAGCAAAGACATGGGCTGCCCGTCGTGCGCCCTGCACCGCACCGCGCCGCGCGGCCTTCGCGCCGACCGGCGTGAAGCAGGCTGTCTCGACCACTCTCTTTCTCTCCAACTCTCTCTCTCTCTCTCTCTCTTTCTCTCTCTCTCTCTCTCTCTCTCTCTCAAACCTCGCCATCTGTTTCCCTCCCTCCCTCCCTCCCTCCCTTCGTGTACTGCTCGATCCAGCAGCACTCTGATGTGGCCGTAGCAGTTTGCGATGTGATGTCAAGCTGCGCAGAAAGAGGTTCGCGCAAGAAAGGCAACCCGAATGTGGGGGAATACGAAGACGAGATCACTCAAAAAACTAGCGTCCACAAGAACCTGGGAGGCAAACTGCCGAGAACAGTGCGGCACGCACGACCGTGCTACGATACACTGCCAGGTGGAACAAATGTACAAGAGTGTCTGGATAATGCCGTCGACTACCAGTGGTGTGCGCAAGGCCACTCCATAACAGCACAAGGCCCTGCGCGCACATGATTGGCAACTCGCCCTCTCTGATGACACGCTCAACATCGCTCAATCAGACCTTGAATATCGCCCGGCTGAGGCTGCAGCTGAGCGCGTGGAAGGCCTAGCGTAGTTTGGCGCGGCCATACCTTGTAGACACCGTATCGAACGCGGCATCCGGTGCTTGCGGAGCATCGTGGATTGTCGTACATTTGGGGACCACAGAGATGCACCAGGCATCGCACATGTAGAGGATTGCAGCGCAGTGACATCCAGACTGGGACTGATCCGCGGCCGCTCGGCACGGCATCTGTGTCCGCCAGCATCTGCGAGCCTGCGCCGAGCGCTGCGCACGCCGAGTGCGCTTCAGTCTGCGTCTGCGAGACGGCCAGCCCTGCCCGATCGGAGCATGCCGCTTCATATGTTGTTGCAGCCGTTGCGCACCCCACGTGCATCCGCCACCATGCCGCAGGCACTGAACGGAGTGTCATTAGGTCACTGAGGCGTCCCTGATGAATGCCGTTAGGCGTATGATGTTCAAACAGAGCCCCAGACCCCCGACTCAAGGGTCTCTTGGGCGCTCTCGCTTACTTTCTCAGTGCGTAGCCTTTCCCTTGGCCTTGAGAAGGACTCTGGACATCCAAACTTCTAGCCGGAGGAGCCCGTCCTGCAGCCGTCTTGGCAGTCTCTGAAGCGGTCTTGGAGGCCCTGGCCCAATCGCCCAAAATCGTCAGCATCGAAAGCCTGTGCGATATCGCATGATCTTTAGCAGTCTCTCCCTTTGCGACTTGAAAACGCCCAAGACGGCCCAGCAAGCCAGCGGTATCACCCAAAAATGGACCTCGAGGCTGCCCCCACTGCATCCAAGACAGCCTAAAGAGAGGCCAAATAGTTGCACAATCGCCAGACCTCTGGAAGCCTCCCCTCCAAGATGGACCCATGACCGCCAGCTGAACCTCAAGATGTCCCAAGAGGCCCCCAAGAGGCCTCTTCAGGAGCTCCTGAAACTCCCAAGGTGCCCCAAATAGGTTCCCAATGAACATCGTTTAGCCGATCCCCATCCAGCGGCGTGGCCTGGGCCCCACTGGCCGATTTACCCCCCTAGATGGGGATGTAGGTCGTTCCCTTCGGGTTTCGAGGGGTGTATCCCCAACTGGGGTGGTAATTTGGTGGGGGTCTCGAAGGATATGGGGATGGGGATGGGAATGGGTATCGATTCAACGATACCGACCCAAGAGGGCCCAAGAGGCCTGAGACCCAGAGAGGTTGCGGCACTCCTGAAAAGCATGCCCACGCGCTTACGGATCCGTCCTGCTGCACACGGAGGCGGCCTGACGCGGGGCCGCCGATCCGGCGCACCCGACCTGCCGCGGGCGCGGCGCGTGAAGATGTTGCTCCGTCGGCATGTAGATGTGTGTGTGTTCTTGGGGCTCCTCCTCCTCCTCCTCCTCCTCCTCCTCCTCCTCCTCCTCCTCCTCCTCCTCCTCCTTCCGTACTTTGCGGCCCTAATTTGCATGCAGCGTGTCCTCTGGATGCCCATCCGCCAGGACAGTCGCCCTCTGCCCAGCCGCCGACGCAACAAAATGTGTGTGTATATGTGTGCGTGCGCTGTGGCCTAGCGTGCGATTCCGCGTCCTGGCCTGCCGACCAGAACGCACTGTGCGTCCGCCACCGCCGTGGGCAATACACAAAAAGCGTGCGCTGTGCGACCACCGAGGGACCAGCCGAAACTGGCGCTGCCACGTATAATCTAAAACTAGAGCTATGCGCGCTTAGGTTCTAGCGCAACACAGGCCAACGTTTCGACAACGGGTGCGTATCGCCATGCCTGTCTTGCAAATGCTTCGAGCCGTTTGAAATATGATTCGCGCTGCTCCCGTTCATCGCCCTCCCCGATCTCGATTCCGTCTCCTCTCCTCTCTACTTTCTCCTCCCTTCCACCAGCTGTCCCTTCCTTATCGCTCTTCTCCCTGTCCCCTACGTCCTTCATGCCCTCGTGTTCTCGTGGAGCGGTTTTTAGAATGGTCTCAGAGGCACATCGGAAGAGAAGAGGCGAAGTCCTCAGAAACCCATGGCCTTCCGCGGGTGTTTGAAGGATTTGGGCTTCGTGGGGGGGCCTCTGACGAGGCCTCTTGGGAGCCTCTTGGGAGCCTCTTGGGGGTGGGGGCCTGGGGCCGCCTATGGGCAGTCTTGAGCTTGGCCATCTGGAGGCCATGTTGGGCCGTCCTGGCAGCCTCGAAAGCCGTCTTGAAGCCATCGTGGGCCGTATCGAGGCCATCTTGAAGGGGTGGGGGCCCTGGTCGACCGTGTGGGGCTCCCTCGGGCTCCTCTGAGGCGCGCTTGGCCCGTCTGACGCTGCCTTCTGGGGGGGGGCTCTGGGTGGTCTCTGGGGCCATTTTGGGGAGGCTCTGGAGCGCTCTTGGGGGCGTCCTGTGGCCTCGTGGGGCTTCTCTGGGGGCACACGTGGGCCATTCCACGGCCATTCAGAAGCCTCAAAAACCCATCGGAAACGAAAAAGCGAGATCTTCAAAAACTGTGTCTTTCCACTGGTTCACTGAGTTGGGCATCTTGGGGCCCTCTTGGAAGCCTCTAGGAGCCAGAACACTTGAACAAACCAACGGAACATCAACAGATGTTGTCTCCCGAGCTCCTTTCACCGGCGCAGTTGGATCCGCTCGCGTGGAGGCCCCGCGGCCCCGGGGCCCGGTCGCCGGACGTATGTATACATGTATACGTGTGTACATAGACACATCCATAGCTACATACATACATGCATGCATACTTACCTACACACAGATACATACATACATACATACATACATACATACATACATCCATACATACATATATACATACATACATACACACATACATGCATACATACATAGATACATACATACATACATACATACATGCATACATACATACATAACATAACATAACATAGCATAACATACATAACATACACACATAACATACATACATACATACATACATACATACATACATACATACATACATACATAAATACATACATACGTACATACGTACATACGTACATACATACACATACACACATACATACATACATACATACATGTATGCGTGCGTGCGTGCGTACGTACATGCATGTATACATAAGTGCATGCATGAACACCTACATGCCAACCTACCTGCACAAATGTATACATACATACATGCATGCATGCATGCATGCATGCATACATGTATACATACCTGCATACATATATGCATACATACATACATACAGACAGACAGACAGGCCGACCGACAGACAGCCAGACAGACATACACGCACGCATACCTATTCACATGCATACATACATGCATATCTGCATACATACGTACGTACAGACCTACGTACATAGATACATACATGCATGCATACATACATGCCAGCACATTCTCACATACCTACCTACATGAGCGCCTACATACAAACCGACGTACATACACGCATGCATCTATACGTGCATGCAGCTGTGCACACGTGCATGTGCGCACATGTTCATAGATATATACATCGTAGACTGCCAACTGCCGCCTAGTCTCACGCGGAGCGCCGAGACAGCCCCACCACGCCAGCACGCCTGGAGACACCAGGATCCCGCGGCGACGAGGAGGGGGGGGCGGAGCGGGCGTTGGCCCTGAGAAGGCTAAAGACATTGCAACACGAGCATGAGAAATCATGACAGACGCAATTCATTTCCCACGGCACAAGCATGATCCTGGGGGGTCCAACCCCGGTTACTGAAGAAGGGAAGCTGGACGTTTCTTGACCAGCGACCTTGTGCCCACATCGGCTCGGCGAGATACAAGTGAAAGGAAAAGCAGAAAGAGGACGGAGGAGAGGAGGAGGAGGAGCCAAAAACTTGAGATGGGGCCGGCTACGATCGTGACAACGATAAAGTGGCACACCATCAATCGTAGACTGCCAACTGCCGCCTAGTCTCACGCGGAGCGCCGAGACAGCCCCACCACGCCAGCACGCCTGGAGACACCAGGATCCCGCGGCGACGAGGAGGGGGGGGGCGGAGCGGGCGTTGGCCCTGAGAAGGCTAAAGACATTGCAACACGAGCATGAGAAATCATGACAGACGCAATTCATTTCCCACTGCACAAGCATGATCCTGGGGGGTCCAAACCCCGGTTACTGAAGAAGGGAAGCTGGACGTTTCTTGACCAGCGACCTTGTGCCCAAAATTCCAAAAACCTTCTTGGATCGGTTTACCGGAGGGCGGGTCTGGGTGGGACCTTTGAAAAACTCCAGGATCTGATTGCCGAGCCGAGGTGTAAACTGCATTGCACGAGCTAGCTGTGCTGCTGAGAGCAACTGTCTGTTGCGCAGCAACCCTGCAGGTTTGGAGTAT